CTCTGACCCCGATTAAATTTCCGCTCGTTTTTTCTTTATAGCATTGCGAAGTGTTGTTTGCTAATTTTCCCGGGAAATGATACACGTAACAGAGATAGGCGTGATAAGTGGAAATGCGATACATTTTCTTTTCTGGAAAATAGCTATATAGCTAGAGTAACTAAATAAACAGCGATGCTTTAGTTCACTTTAAAACCTCTCACGTCCAGTGGGAGAGATTTTACAGATGAGTAAAAATGAACTCGCTTTATCTAAATTTAGTTAAGTTGAAATAACGGCAAAGTTGGAGCAAATTTTTTTGGGGGGGAAATTGACCGCTTTTTGCTGCAGATTCGCAACCTGGGCATCGGCGGCAAGACCTGTGTGGATTCCCCGGCCCGCCGTAGCGACCTGCACAAGCCCGTGGGGCTGTACCCTTGCCACCGCCAAGGCGGAAATCAGGTAAATCCTCTTTGCACCATTCAACAAATTTCTTTCTTTACAGATATCGGTGTTGGATCGCGAGCTTTGCATCGATTCGCCTTGTAAACCGGAAGACTTGCACAATCCGATCGGTCTATGGCCCTGTCACAAGCAGGGCGGGAATCAGGTAAAAATCACCGCCAACGCCGCCCCCGTCTCTATGTAAATAAGCTGCGACGCTAGCTGACTAACTATCATTAACTTGGGAGGGAGTTAACTTGGGTGTTTTTTTTTGTTTATGAACAATAAATCAGTTTCAAATTTTTATTAATTTAAATATATAATAAATTGTTAATCTGTTTCACTATAACATGCATCGGTGGTTTAGTTGTAAACAATAGGACACTGATTGCACTAAATTATAGAATTATTTAAACCGCAGAATTTGATGCAAATAATTTTTGTTTGAAAATTTACATTTAAATTCGATGAGGGAATGTTTTGGTGAATTTATTAAACACAGACACAAAAATATGGTTTCATAAATTTTACAAAGTTGTTAAATTTTTCTTCCTTAAATTTTGCATATTTTTGAAATAGATATTATACAATGGAAAACCCTGAAGCGTGTTTTACAGAAGTTTCCCAATAATAAATAATCGAAGCTGAACGTTTATTTTGCCAAACGTAGTGAGGCAAACAATTCATCTGAGCCACATAAACTTACATTTACTCCGAATAACATATACTATTTTATTCGCAAACGCATTCAGATCGAGTGTAAAGAGCAACACTATAATTAGCAAGTAAATGAACAAAATAGTCAGTAATGAAATCAACGCTTATAAACAAACATCACGCGTTAGTATCGGAATTCGTGTTGAGACTTTCGAAAGTGTATTTTAATTTAACTAGTGCAGTTAGTAGAGCAAAATGTCGGATGCTGATGATCAACAGTGCGTCAAAAGTATTTTTATCAAGAAGGCGTAGAAATATAAAACGTATTTCTGCGTAAGATATAATATCCCAATGACAAATGAGAAATGTCCAAATAATTTTAATGTAAATTACGACGTTTCATAGAATTACTCAATTTGATTAGATCAATATTTGAATTTTTATAAAATGATTTTTTGAACATATGAACTGCCCCGAAGCAGCGAACATTGGTAAATCTCATGGTAAAAGTAAAAACGCTTAGGCGCAAAAATTGAATTTTTACTCTATGGTTGCAAGGTATAACTTTTACTTGTTACGTTTGCTAAAATTATAAATAAAAGTGATGTTTGCGGGTAAAATAATAAAATAAATAAATAATAAAATAACTTTAGTTTGAAATTTGCCACTAACTTTGCAAAAATACGTTTTCATATTTTTTATCAAAGTTAATTTCCTAAAATAAATGCAAGTTTTTATACAGTATGTCCCTGAATTGAGTTTACAAGAGAAAAAAATTTTTTTTGATTTTACGCCAAAATTGCAAAGGAAAAACATTTTTTGCTTTAGAAACGAGCAAATTTGTAGTTAAAACTTCATTATCGTAACTCAGTAGAATGAAAAGTTCATTTTTCTCTGCTTTTTAAATCTCATCACATAGACGGTTTTATTTCTTTGACAATGATGTAACTTTGACAAATGAGTTTTTGCAAGTTAAATAACAAAAATGTTTGTCAAAAACATAATTTTGATGAATAGCAATTCAAATAAACAGCTCTAGGATAAGAAACAAAGGCATTTTGAAACTAAATTATTTTCAAAATGGCTGAACTTCCGGAACTACGAGAAATTGGCGCCAACTTTGAAATTTTAAATGGTACCCACTTATTTTTATTGCATTTTTGAATTCTCCTCTTTAAACTAAGTAAAATGTACCTAGTTGTTAGTACTTATCTATCATAGTTTTTGACATATGTCAATTTTTTGGTCAAAATTTTCACTTGCAGGGGTTCATTCAAAACATCACAGCTCTTGAAC